TCTGCCGGCGCTGGCCCGTCCTGGGGGGTTCCTCATCTCTTTTTGAAACAGATCTTAAAAATTTGTCACGCAATTTTGCAAAACAGATAGCACGCATCCTGCTACAAGCAGGACTTAACTGATTATTTTAACGCTCTGGCTCGTAAACTACTTTAAATTTCCCTGACTGGGTTTAAAAGCCGTGGCTGAGGACCAACAGAGAGCATCATCTGCCTGTGCCACATACACACCACGCTGGCCCATCCGAAATGCAAAACCTTTGCAAACTTCTGTTTGATTTTTTTTTTCCCCTTAAACTTGTATGATGGAAAGCTCACAGTCTGATGTCCAAAAGGAAAAAATGCTCTGGGCAACAGCTCCTGAGCCTGCCGTCCATTGCACGTGGCTGTCTCTGAGCACAACAATCTGTGATTATCTCATTTCCATAAGGAATCAGGGTCCCAAATGAAATTTATTTTCTTTTATTTATTGAGATACATATTTAAATAAACCATTTATATTAAGACTTTCAAAATACAAGCTCACTGATCTACCTGTAAAATTCATAAGCTTGTAGACAGGCTGCACGCCAACTATAAAACCCATGTGTTATAAAATCAGCACTCTACATACAAAGCAATGCCACAAATTTACCCCATGGGAGCAAAAAAAGCCCAACTTTCAATTTTATATTACTGTGGTCACTCATTCTTGTACCAGTGGTGAACACAGACATGGGACCAGCTGACTTCATCCTGGAAAGCAACCGCCCGAGTGTCACAAGTAGAACTGCTGGGATTTTGCTTTAGGTACAAAGCTTCACACACTGTGTCTTACTAGGACTTGTTTTCTTTGAAAAAATTAGATGGTCACATGCTGTAGCCCATGGATGTTTATTTTCATCAACAGCTAACTCCAGGAACTCAGTATTAGAGCTGGATTGAGTAGTGAGCAGAGAAAAAGCACACTAAAGCAGGAAAAAAGGTCTAAAATTATTAATCCAAGCTTTTCAGGGCCCCAGGAAGATTCTTTCTTTTCTTTAAGGGGACATTTACTTGGGATATGTTTCAGGATGAACAGATTTTCAAGCATAACCTCAATCTCTGCAGTAGCTCCATGGTCGCCTGCTGTTCCTGGGCTCCAGACGGGACTCCTGTGCCTCAGCTCTTGCCAGGGGACCAACGTGGTGCCTGGCGAGAGGCAGGGCAGAGCAGCCACCCCACAGCCTTCCACCCACTCACGGACGTGTCACCTGGCAACAGCCACCCAGCCCTTCAGCTTTTGGACTTGGTGCCAGTTCCTGGAGTTGGGCAGCAGCCTGGGCACTGTCCCAGGCCGTGTGTGTACTGCTAACGTGAGCGTTTCTAGGAGAAAGCCCCAGAGCTGCAGAGAGCTAACACAGAAGCCACCAGACTAGGCAGGAACTGCCCCGTGTAGTCAAATGAAAAAGATGATACAAGTTGCCCACAGTTTTTAAGTAACAACTACACGTGCTGTTAAGACAAAGTAAAAATCCTTGTCCTGTCATTGCTCTGAGCATGTTTTGTTAGTGCTTTTATTTCAGCCCTCTCCTGGGCTTGGGATCTTGCTTCCTACTGAGGGAGGCTGAGTTTCTGGCTCCTGAAGGACCCAGCTTCCTGCCACTTATTTTTCCTGTAAAGAGAAAATAAAAATAGTTATTGCAAGCCCACCTAGTCCTAGTCTTGAATTTTATCTCCCATTTTGATCCTCAAGATACGTTAAGTCTGAATGACTGATATTAGCAATTAAAAGCTGGCAGGAGTACCAAGAGGGGTGGGACCAAGGGGTCTGGGTTCCTTTCCTGTCTCTAGGAAATGGCGCTGGAGCTTTAGCTGTATTTAGGCAGGATTTAAGTTCCTTCTGTGTTTCCAGATTCTAAGCAGCCCAAACTAACTAGCATTCTCATTAGCAAGGAGAAACAGCAAAGCTGAACATAGACAGACCTGACTGTAGGTCCAGTTCAAGACTGGAAACTGTTGAGTTTAACCACATTGACTTATGACAGCTGAAAGAGACAATTCAACCATTCTTTCCTGGAACTCAGAGTAGTTGTGAAACAGAGATGTGAGCAAAGCAAACGTCAGACAGAGGAGGTTCACTCTAGCAAAGACCTCAATATGCAGCAGACTAAAGAACACCAGTAAAAAGTCTGACAGAGGAAAAGTTTTGCATGTTACTGGCCAAAATGGTTTTGGTGCTGCAGGCAGTGAAAATAGCTTGGTTTTTTAACTTCTGTGTTCAGGGCATAAAGGGATTTTGCATGTGGTTCATAAATGAAGACAACTGTTAAAAAAAATGACACCTGACATCAGCATCAGTTTCTCCTTGTTGATGAAGAAGCTGCACAATCATAAATTCTGCCTAGCTCCTGGGTCTGAATTGAAAAGGAAGAGCAGTACACAGCACTAACTATTCAGTTCAGCTTGTAATTAGAATTAGATTAGCATCCCCTGATTGGACATTAAAAGCTAAATCAGGCTCTGGTTTCTCTGTGTCAGCATTCAGGAGCCTTCCAGAACGTTAACTGTTTAGTGTCACTGCTGGTTGTTCTATTCCTGGCCACACTATTATGCAGAAAAAAACCCTGAACTGATCCAATATGCCAGTTTCCCCAGTAACTAAGCTAATGACCTCATTTTGAAATTACTGTTAGTGAATGATGTTGAGAATTTGCTCCCTAAGTGTACTGTAGTCTGTACTAGCATAAGAAATATCAGCTAGGGTAAACAAACCATGCTGAATGGGTGACCAAGGGCCAGCCTGCACTCCTGGATGAAATACTTCCCTTAAGTAAAGGCAACACAATCAAAAGCATAATCATTATTGTCATAAAATAGTATCTTACCAGGCTGCAGCAGAATGGTTTTATTTATTGGGGCTAACCTCCGCTGATTCATTTTACAGCCATCTTTGCCTATCAGGTGAGATTTCCAGGCCTAAAGTCAGTTAAAAAAAGCCATTACAAATCCCAGCAATAATCCAGGTGAGTTCTTAAGTCATTGGGTATAAGCCAGTGTTAGAAGAGGACACAAATTCAGTGCCAGGGACATACATCAGACCAATCTACAAGGCAGCCTTACCTCCTCTCCTGGGGAAAAGTTTTCGTGGCACAGTGGGCAATGGTTTGCCACATTTTCTGGTTCAGCCGCTGAAATGATTTGAAAAATAATGTAAGAATGGCAGAGACAGGTTAATTCCAAATACAAGAGGAGAACCTGCACAACAAAGAGCATAAAACAACCCCACAGCTAAGCCAGCTCCCACCCTATTAACTACTCTCAGAGAACTCCCACGTTTCATCTGCATCAAAAGATGCAAAAGATCAAAAGGAGCGAGAGGGCTTAATCCACAAGGGTGGGGTAGAGGCTTTCTGCTCCCCACTCATCCTCCCCACACATGTTCCTAGAAGTGAAGCATGGCACGTGCTGGGAAACTCAGGCATTTACTCCAGAAGTGTTCCCTCCTGTGGTCTGCTTAGATCTCCAAGCCCACAGAGCAGCACCTAACCAGAAGTGCTCTGACTTGCCACAGACATGCAGTATTTCCAAGTCTGACTGACTTGACCCCTGAATTTCCACCTTCCTGCTGGAAACCACTCACCATTGCAAGTCTTGCTCTTCAGGTGTTTGGGCAGCTCATCTCTTGGCACGGCCTCGCTGCAGCGTGGGCACTTCCCAAAGCTGTCCCTCCTGTCACAGCCAGTCAGCAGGTGCTCCGTCAGGCTCGCGATCTCCACCACCTGCAGGAGCACAAGGGGCAGCGAGAGGATTTGCACTCTTCTGAGGAGGGAAGGACAGGGGTTAACAAACCTGCTTATGGGATCTTTGGAAGTTAAATCTCACTTTCCAAAAGGACAAAGGGAAAATGAAATTTTAGTCCAGTTATTAATATGATTTACAGTGCTGCCCTTTTGGAAAGCAGTGCCCGAGATCACACAGCAGTGTTCAGAACTCATCTACCTTATAGCACCTTAACACCAGAAAAACAACAGGTTATGTCTTCTGGTAGCTCTAGAAAGTTTCTGCCTAACCTGTTTGCAGTGCTCACATCTGATTAAGACTGGGCAGTGTTTCCAGTAATGCTGATCCAATCTTTCCTCTGTGAAGGATTCATCCCTTTCACCACAAAAAATACACAAGCTGTGAAAAAAAATGCAAGCGTCAGTAACATCACAGAGTGAAATGGATCAACCCTGTTTATTCTGTTAAAAACTGTTCTGAAAAATAGCTAAACCCCACCTTGGTACACATTTTCACTACATAGTGCTGACCTTAGGACAGGGCACAAACAGGTACTACTATATAATTTAAGGCAAACAGAGCTATAAAGCATTTGGTCATACAGAAAGATGTAGTTCCAGAGAGCACTGAGAACAGCTCACTGGAACTGGCTTTCATGGCTCCAGAACTTTCAGACACTTTCTCCAGGCCCTTATCCTACAATACACAACATATCTTTGCCTTATTTTATAGTGGCAGTTGCACAGTAAACTGTGACAATTTCTTATCCCACAACTATTCAGGAAGCAAGTCCAAGGTCACACTACCCAAGACCTTGAAAAAATCAACATCTGGGATCACCTGGTGACAATTCCCCACTGTTAGCAGAGATTTTCTTTTTCATTGTTTCAATGCTGAGGTTATTAGCTTTGGTCTACTGGAAAAATGTTATTAAGGTTATTAGCTTGCAGGTCATACTGAGTGCTTAAGGTGATCAGAAGCTGCTCATCTAACTTACTTATCCAAATAATTTGCAACAGAGGAATGATCATCTGGAATCTCTGCTGCTGCAGGCTGTGGGCTTTGGTTTACCTGTAAACCTGTAAAAAGAGAACTATTAAACCTGAGATATCTTGAAATCCTTCTACATCTATTAATACTACTTGCAACTCCCTACCTTGATTCTTTGGCTTCTGAAAATCAGATTCTTTCTTCTGTTGAGCAAAGAAAAGTAAGTCAGAAATTTGCTTAATGCCTTGCCAGGGAGAAAAAGATTCTATTCTGGTTTTGCTCTGGAATTAAACACTTAGCAGCAGAGCCAACACATTACAACATTTGTGCTTCTAGTCCTACAGCAGATCTCTGGATTACTGGGACAACAGTCTCCTGGAAAACCAGTCCTCCTCCCTGGCACTGGGGTAGCTGACTACCTTCCTATGGTTCTGGTATAAAACTTCATGGATGTGCAGTACAGCATGTTCTGGAGGGCCTGAGCACACTCAGGACAATTCCTATACTCCAGCTGGTACAGAAACACTTAGACTTACAGAAATGCTCCAGTTTACCATGCAATAGACAAAGCTGTTTTAAAAATGAATCCAAATTTCATACTATGTTAGGAAAAAACAACCCCCCATATTTTAAGCTAGACTGTTGAGGAGGAAAGTCAGCCAGTGTATGTCAGAGAGACTCTCTCTTTTATGGTTTATAATGAGACATCAGTAATGTTAATCATCTAAGCCTGTGATACCTGAGGAAAAAAGGATTAAAAAAAATAAAAATGAAAACCAAAACACCCTAAACCTTTTCAGCTTGAATTTCTGCTTCTATCTCCTCCAGAGCTGCCAGCTGATCTTGCAGTACTTTTATTTCTTCCTTCTTCTGTTTCTCTGCTTCTGTTGCTGCCTTTCTCTGTGCCTGTGAAGAAATGCTCTTTCAGTTACACGAGTTTTTGAACTGTCTGTCATCTAGAAGAGATCACACCAGCATGGCACAAGTGGTCAGTGCAGTACAAGGAACACCCTGCCTGGTTACAGATCAGCCTGTGTCAGTGACACCTCCTCCCCCCAGATTCCTCTGTGCCACCTGAAAGAAACACAGAGCATATCCTCCATGCTTACTGTTTCCAAGGCAAGCCAGCACAGAACAGTATGTGAGTACTTTCCAAAGTGACTCTGTATCATTTCAGAAGTACCATCTGTGTTCTTTGTAGACTTTATTCATGAGTGAGTGTATGTAATAAACCGAACACCAGCTCTTCACACTCAGTAATGTTAACAGCACACCTTCAGCTGCTCTGCTCTGTGTGTCATGCAGCTCCTAACCCAGCCAGGAATCCACGTATTCCCCACGGAACGCAATGTCTAAAGCAGCTATGTGTCTTGTTACATACCCTAATTTCAGCTCCAGGAAGTTTACCATCTATTTTGGTAAAGCCCTCGAAGAGTGTCCTGTAGAGCAGCGTCCTGCGGGCGCTGGCGCCGTCGGGAGGGAGGTGCCCCAGGACAGCAGCTCTGTGCCCCCTGTACAGGGCAAAGACGATCCGCAGCGCGACCTCGCGCACCTCGTGTGCCCTGTGCTCCAGGGCTCCCACTGCAAACTGGAAGGGATAACAACTTTAAAAGTTATGCCTCTATTTTCCCACATTTTAAAAAAAAAATATTATTAGTCTAAGACAATTATTTCACTGCAGTAGGAGAAATCTCCACACAGACAAGATTTTGCAAACACTTTTTGACCCAGTGATTCTTTTCTCCTCATATTGGCACCTTGCCTCCTCAGCAGGTTGTGTGTTGTCACCTCCAAGAGGCTCATATTCTCTTTGGTGATTCCCCAAGCACTCCAAAACAGTCAGACAAGCCCCAATAAAAAAGCAACACAAAAACCTTCACATGCTGTCAACTCAGGCTCCTACCTTCATGACGCTGCTGACGGTAAACCCCGAGTTTTCAGTCCCCATGTCCTTCAAGAGGCTTTCCACTAACTTCGCTTGACTCATTGCCAGGTGTGTTGGGGAGTTTGGCTTCAATGGTTGAACCAAATGAGCTGGAACAATCTGAAGGGGTTTAACTTCACTACACAGTGCCATTTCCTGTAAGCATATGGAGAATCAAGTGTGCATGTAGGAATGGAAATGAGGAAAATCAACTGTCTTTGTAGGGCAGAGTTCCCCTAAGTTACTTATACCAAGCTCAGTAAAATGCAATGAGCCTTCCATAAGAAGTAGCTGCTTATTTTTTACTTTAGCAGCCAGAATTTGCTTGCAAAGACTTTGAAGAGAAGCTTATAGGGACATTAAGTTTTGCTAAGCACACTCTCCTTCTCTCCAGGCTGTGTTCTATCTACAAAAAAAAAAAATAATTATTTTTTAACCATTTTCTCCTTTCTTTTCTCTTTCAATTATAAAATCTAAGCCAAGCAGTAGTAATAAAGCAACCTGTCACCTTTGGGGTTCCAGTGACACACCAGACCGCTTCACACAGTGATGCTGTTAAAATTCCAGTTACATCTATAGTGGAAGAAAAGTCTTTTCCCTCCACGTGTGGATGCAAGCAAGGTAAATAACCCAGATATAAGCCATAACCCTTCACAGCAGCAAATTCTGAATGTGAGGTCAAGTCTGATTAGATGCTATCCCCCTGTAAGCTCTGTGACATTCTTAATGCAAACCAAACCATAATTTGAAGAAAGGCACCTACCTGAATAAAGTTAGATGCCACAAGGCGAAGTCGGGATGAAGAGTCTCCTGTTCTAGAAAGCAAATTTGGAAGAGTCTTTTCCACACAATGAGAAGTTTCTGTTCTTCCTAATTCATGTTTTGGTATATATTGAGTAATGATCATTTTCAAAAGTTGCAGGGAAGCCTGGAAAACCTAAGTCAAAGTGAAAAAGGAAACACTGAACAACAGTACCACACAGACTCCTGTTTTCAGACAATATTGTAAAATCCTTTCTCTAGTTCTAAAGAACAGCAGCCACAGGAATCCAGAATTACAGTAACACTCTTGACAGAAGCTACTTCAGATACCAGAAAACATGTGGCTAGGGCTTAGGTGAAAGGCTTCAGAATTTGTTTTATAAAGAGTAACACAGATCTTTCTTTTTTTCTTTTGTTTCGTGTTTAAAGCTCATTTGAAGCCTAAGTCCCCTTAGGCTAACTGTAATCTCTCTAGCTGGAAAGTAAAAGTTACTTCAGTGCTGTATTTGAACTTAAAAAGAACAAAGGCTCCACTTCAGCACACATTTACTGCATCAGCAGTTGTTTCTCAAGGTTGTTACTCAGCTCAGGACAATATTTTCCATACTGCTGAATGCCAGACAGGGGCCAGTCCTTGCTCCTAACTAAAATCTGACATTTGTTTTTTTTGTTTGTTTGGGTTCTGTTGTTGGGGTTTTGTTTTTTTTTAGACTTCTGTAACAGCAGTTTTACAAACTATTTGTTTAAATTACTTAAACCACACAGTTCTACAGTTTTTGCTCTTAGTTCTTCAGTGAAGTGTTTCTTATCAAACCTGTCACAGCTTACCGAGGACACGATGTCTTTGATGGCTCTCCTTACAAGGAAAATAGCAGCTCTCAGCACATTCTTCAGTTCATCCTTTGGAGTGTTTACTGACATTTCCATCAGCATCTTGTAGACAGCCAGCAATGCATCTTCTCGATACGACCAGGTTCTGGAATATGCTCCTGAAACCTGAACACAGAACAAGTTTATCTCTTAAAAGGTCAATATTGATATTTCGGTGTTGTTCAACATTTATATACAGGAGCAGCTTCAAAAGAACATATGAACTTCAGCATGAAATCCCCAGGTGTTTCCTACAGGAATCTGGCTTATATTAAAAGCACATAATTCTGAGTAAAATGATGAATAAAATGGATTCATGGGACAGGCTCAAGGAACCGTTTCAGGCACAGTCATGGCTTCTCTCCCTATAAGTTATGGGTATTCTGGTAGGGTCCATACCCTAAACCAGTCTACCAGACACTCTCTGCTTAACACATCATTAAATAACCAATCATAAAAACTACAGCATCCTAAAAACATTGAAAACGGGCACCCATATACCCGAGGTCAAATTTTGATCTCAGATTTTTAAGTAGCAGCTCTGAACATGTAAAACTCACATCAGTTGGTCTTTGTTGACTGACTCAGCGCAGGTCACAATAATCTATGTGTTAATTTTGTTGTTCCTTACCAAAGCTTCTCCAAAAACCTCAACAGCAGGGCTGGCCTCCCTCAGTGCCTTCTCAGTTAATGGTTCTGGCTCCCCAGCAATGCCACCTCTGGGAGAACTGCTGACACCCTGCTCTGCCCTCTCCGGGGACGCGGCCGCCTCCTCGGGGTGCTCACAGCCCGCTGGAAGAGGTGTCTCATCGTAAGGCACAAACTCCACCTAGCAGAGAAGATAAAATTTGCTCCTCTAGAAATGACTTAGATGTGAAGTTGTTTCATCACTAACTGGATTCACCTCAATGCATTTTTTCCCCCATCAAAGCAGCATTGCTTCACAATGAAGTACAGACCCTGGAGTTCCCATAATAACATTGCCACAAAATGGAATCACTGCCTGTGAATGAAACTCATTTCTTGTCTATAGAATACAATAAAACACACACAAAATGCCTTTTGTGGAAGTGCACGTATCTACAGAAGAAATCACCTGTTGATAGGAAGCCAGCAAGTTATAAACTATTGGTTAGATGATTTTAAGTCAACACCCTGTTCGAGAGAATACTACTGCTACCAGAGCCAACACAATTCTTCCTTCTCTTTGACAAAAGCTGGAGCAGCAAACCCTAAAGATCAGGCTTACCAAATACCATGATTTTCTTCCTCTCCTCAGATGTGACACTAAGCTCTTACCCTGCAATCCCATTCCAACAAACTCCCTTGTATAGTCATCCAACATGACCTCTATGAAGGAGATTTATTAAGCCATGAATGGAGAAAGCAGATTTCAGCTTCCCCTATACTGGCTGTGTGACCCCTGTTGAGTCATTTTATGTTTGTTTGCCCCCATTCTTCTGTTTGTAAATTGAGTAGAATCCCCTTTTGTCTCAATCTCAATGAACATTTGAAAAAAGCTTCCAAAGAAATTCAGGAAAGTGGAAGACCAGTGCCAGTTATTAGAGGGGCACGGTCATGATGCACATGGGAATAAGCATGAAAGACCTGGTTGGTTTGGAAGGCTGAATACAAGACTGCTTGCACTGACAGATCTCTGCAGTACCAGTGGTACACTACTCACATTTCCTTTGGGAAGCACTTCCCTGGAGGTTGTGGGATGAGTCCTGGGAGGAGGAGGAGGCGACTGATGGGGAACAAGGGGCTCAGCAGCAGCAGGACCTGCTGACTTCTCTTCCAGCAAAGGTTCTGCTCCCCACAGCTCTCCTTTGTGCTGTTCTGTGTGCTCACGAGGAGGGGAATTTGTAGCTTTTGTGTGCTGAGGATTGTCCATATACATCACAGGCTCCAAAGGCAATTCAGGTGGTTTTCGACTCTGAGAAAGGGAAGATTTGTAAAGCAGAGCTAACAATGTGCTGAAATCAGCAGCAGTACAGCTACAGCACTGTCAGTCAGCAGGATTCTGGTGCTTTCAAGCAAATATCAGATCTCACTCACAGGCACACGATCATTTCCACTGGGTGCAGCTTTATGAAACAAGCAGAAAATAATTCTGTGTGGGTGCATGTGTAAAGATTATACAGCTTCCTATTCTGAGGACAATATAAAACTGTATAATTTATCACATTACTTCTGCAGGGTTAACCATGATGGCAGCATAAGCCTGTTACACCCCTTCAAAATCTGAGAAAGTACCTTATGGATCTGCACTGGGTAGCCCTGAAGTCATGCAAAACATTCAGGATTCTAACTTCATTTGCTTGAGATCTTAACAGTTCAATGTAAGCTAATTTATGGAGAACTAAGCATGTTTTAAAATGCCACGTGCAAGCCTTTGGCTGGGGAAACCCACAGTCCAAAAGTCCTTATTTAATTATCATAAAACACCTGCCTAACAACTCTTATTTCCCGAATTTGTTTTGGTTGCTCTGCCATTTCTGTTTACAACCCCCACGTGATAAAGCCCCCTGAACTAGGAGCAGCAGCACCCACCAGCAGCTGGGTGTCCAGCAGGTTGTGGAGCTCCAGCTGCTGGTACACCTTCAGGCGGTACGCTTCCATCTGCTGTTTCTTCTTCTCAGCCAGGTCATAATCCTCCTTCTCCACAGCACAGCGCTTCTCCACCTCGTACCGCCCCAGCCGCTCCCCCACCTGCCAGGAGGGGTAACCAGCTAGCCTGGGACCACGCCACTCTGCACACCTGCACGTGGCACTACTTCCAGCCAAGTTATTAAATTATACAATCATAGAATCCTTTAGGTTGGAAGAGACCTTTAAGATCACCAAGTCCAACCATCAAGCCAACACTACTAAGTCCTCTGCTAAAACAGAATCAGAATCTGTCAGGGTTGGAAGGCACCACAAGGATCCCCCAGTTCCAACCCCTCTGCCATGAGCAGGGACACCTCCCACTAGATCAGGCTGCCCAGAGCCTCCTCCAGCCTGGCCTTAAAGACCCCCAGGGATGGGGCCTCAACCTGATTTTAAAATCACTGTTTTGAAAATGTACTGGAAGTAGTTACGATTGCAGGTGGAGGTGGGGGGCCCTGAGGAGCACTGGAACACTGCCCAGCTGGGACCAGCAGGCTCCCAGCAGTACCTTTTGCAAGTCTGCAATGGCTTGTTTGAGCTTCTTGGCGTGATCGTAGCGCTCGTGGCGGACGGCTTCGCGCTTCTTCTCGTCCAGCCTGCGGATCATCTGAGCCACCTCGGGATCCTGGTACATGTCAAAGGCCAAATCATCCAGAGGAGAAATGGAGTCAAGTTTCCTGAAGATACAGAATGAATAAAATAAACTCACAGTTAACCCACAACAACCACGCTGAGCGTACGTCTCCTCCTTTCACTGGCAGGGAACTAACAAAATAGAGAGACTGAGAACCACAGACTGCAGAGGTGTTTTGCCAGGGTATATGGAGAAGACAATCCTTACCCAAGGTAAGTTCCATCTAAGGCAGGATCATCTGATTTAATCCCCAAGTAGTAGTCTATCAGCTTCTCTCTGGAAGGCTTTGTAATGGGAAAAAAATAATAATAATTTTAAAAAAAAATCTTAGTGCACATTCATCAACATCAAGTGTGTGCTCAGGACAGAAATTCTGGCTTACCACAATCAGCATAAGCTGCACAACTTCCTTCTGTTTGGGGGCATATTGAAGGGAGAATTTGTAAAGGCTAAAAATGCCACCGTTACAATTGATGACGTTTTAGTTTTTGTATGCACATATTAGGCTCAATTTTTGAGAACTTTATTGCTTCAAGTTGACATAAAAATAAAATCAATACATGGCAGCTCTGCTACAGCACAAAATGAGCAGAGGAAAGATGCACTCCATTACCCCAGGAACCCTGCAACTGAACATTTGTAGCAACAGTAAGAAGTCAGGGATGCTTTCCACTTACAGTATTATTGCTGTCATTACTGAGGTCTGCTGGATCTCCAATAATGTTCACAGCTACCAGGGCAACCTGGGATAGATTTAAAGCAAATGCATAAGCAAATTACAAATTAAGCAAATTACTTCTTCCATACCTTATGAAAACTGAAAAGAAGTGGAAGAAAAACCCCACCAACAGGACTTCTGGTGAGAATCAAATATAAACCCAGGAGTTTTCAACCAACATTTTTAGCTTCTGCAAACCCAGGGAGCAGATTTCTGTGGCTGTTCTGTACTACTGAAATGTCACTTAGCTCACCAAGTACAGACTCTTGACTCGGCTTACCTGACCGTATATGTTGTATTTATTGACATAATTTTTATGGAAAATCAGCTTCAGGTACTGGCCAACTGCATCCACATACACAGATTTTAACTCTCGTGCTTTGAAATCCGTCTTTTGGTTGTCTGAGAGAGGGACGTAGCTGAGAAGGAAAATGTAACACGTAAGCAGAGGAAACGCACAAGCACACAGCTGTAGTTCTGCTCCTCAGGTTGGTACTGGGAGAAGGTTTAAAACTCCCTCCTGACTGAAGCCATGTGTGCTGCCATCCGAGCAGACTGCTCACCAGCATCATGTCTCTCACACTGACACCTTCAGCCCTGCTGCAGACCTCAGCAGGCCCAGAAGAACCTCTGCTGCCTGCGGCGCAGCGTGACCGATGGCGCACGCAAAGCATCATTAACAGTATTTCCTCATGAGGCCTTCCTGATTAAGGTAATAAAAGAAATTAGAGCTTTTTGACTTACCCCAGTCTATGAAACCTCTCTGACTGGTACGGAGCGAAGTATTCAGGCAGGCTCTCACTGATGTAGAACTCAATTTTGCTTGAAATCATGTACTGGTGAGCCAGCAACTGCAGCTTCCGAATCCGACACCTCTCCACCAGCTGCAGAACGATCTCCTGTGGGTACTGGCACAGTCTGCAAACACACACAATTTCTGAGCCGCCTTTTTAAAGGTGACTTCACTTCCAACTTGAGTAATGTTTAATTATGAAACTTCCCAAAGTTATTATAGTTTAACTCAGCATTACAGAAAGAAACCAAAGAGTACAAACACTTCTCACTTTCCTGCATGCCTCTGTTAAAGTTACCCAGGGGGTGTGCTGAGATGACTGCATTTTTAATACTAAGCCAAAGAAGTTGCAAACTCAAACACTTTCCTCCATGCCTCTGTTAAAGTGCCCCATAATTTACCCAGGGGGTGTGCTGAGATGACTGCACTTTTAATACTAAGCCAAAGAAGTTGCAAACTCAAAGACAAATAACAAAATAGTGGGGTTTTTTTCCTTTTAAAGGACTCCATTCAAATTCAATGAGCCTTTAGCTGGTAACCAAGGTGCTGTTTTCCTCAGGATAGGTATTCCATGGGATTAAAGTAACTTTTTTGGGCTTATAATCTTTGGTCTGGGATGCTGTGAACTGCTCTGACCACGCGTGGTGTATCTGCCACCCATTCTAACCTCACTCCGTGGTGCAGAGCTGGGGCAGTACCTGGGTGATCGCCATCCGCTCACAGTCGGCGCGTGAACCATCAGCTCGTGAGCACTGAAGCCATCCTCGTGTCCTGAAGAACTGACCACGACAAACCCCATCTTGTGCGGCATCCTGCAGAGGTGACCTAGGCAAAGCCACGACGCTTCAGCCTTAAGCAAATCCCTACAAGGACAATAACAGAACACTGAAACACTACAGTCAACAAATTAAATCCTGTGCTCCATCAAGTCAGTACATGATGACTACAAATGTAGATCTTCTGTACTTCATGGTGGCACCATAACCTGTATCATGCTCTTGGGCTGAGCGTTTTACTAGTACGTATGAAGCGACGGTTTAGCTAACTTGTGCAGCAGCTGGCCAACAAACTCAATTAAATCTGCTAATCCAAGACGGCGCTTGAAACTGAGTTCCAAAATGTGCACAAAAATGACCCAAACAATCCTTGGCGTGTTTGAGCCAGAGCAAAAACACCAGCAGGGAAGAAGGCTCAGTGCGGCACCTCTCCACAGCAGGGGTGCTGACGGGACGGCAGCGGGAGGACGGGCAGGACGAGCTCCAAAGACGCCGCTACCCCCGCCCCGCAGTGATACCGCGGATTAATTTCGCCCCTTTCCCTCCCTCCTC